TATTAAAGAATAAGTGAAAGGTAAGGCTATTAAGCTGAAAATAGATCTACCACATGATCCAGCCATTTCACTCCTAAGTACTGATCCAAACACTGCAAAAGCACTTATTCAAAGGATGCATGTATTCTGTGTTCACTACTACTCTATTTACAATAGCAAAATCATGGAAATAACTTCAGTGCCTTAAGACAGAGGTGCAAATTTAAAAAATGTCTTAGGTACACACAATGGAATACTACACAACTATGAAATAATGACCTCATGCCCACTGTGACAATATGAATGTAATGGTCAGATAATGCTAAGGGAAATAAGTCAGAAAGCAAAAGCTATTAACCAGATGGTTTCATTTATATCTGGAATATACAGAAACAAAACCAAGGGTCAGATTAAACCATAATAATAGCAAATCCTAGAAACCTGACTATGGAATTGAGAGGGGAGGAAACACAGCAGGCACAATGGACTATAATGGAGAGCTTGTATGGACGCCCTGGGGGTTTGGTGTGGTGACAAACACCTGAGGGGATGTGATCTTATGCGTCTGAATCACCCACAATGTGATAAACCAAGGTAACCACCATAAAAAATAATATGAGATGTGGAAAACCTAAATAAAAGAAAAACAAAACATCATATATATAATAAATTACAAATATCAGGGTTAAAATAAAACACTAAAACATAATTACCAATCACTAGAGGTGAAGTAAGAAATAACTAATAGGTATGAAAGTCAAACACACACATATCAAACATGAGATTAGTGATCACTAATAAAGGAAAAAAATGAAAAGACAATCTAAAATTTAAATAATTTTCCAATAAATACAGGAAATATCTGAATTTTCAAATTAGAACAAACATTGCTCCAGGAAAATTTGTTAATGTTCAAGACTAAGCCATATTACTATTAAGATATTAAAATTTATAGATCAATCAAAAATCTGTTATACAACAAGAAAATTATCAATTGAGGAAAAACATCAGACTGGCCTCAAACTTCTCTGAAAGCAACATTCAAAGACAGAACACAATGAAGCAATATCTCAAAGTTCTAAAGCAACCAGGTATTTGCCAAGAACATTAAATCCAACAGAATGAAATCTGAGTATAAAGATAGTATAAATATTCTTAAACCAGAAGTAATTTCAAGTTGACACATGGGCCCCTACCAGGGAACAATGTGCGCTGATCAATTAAGAATTAAGTTAAAAGAAATTGTTATAACAAGAGGGATGGAAAACTGAATTCATTTTACGTAATAAATATGCAAGTACTAGAATTTTTATTATAAAACATAAATGTCACATACATAGACCATATGAAAATTAAACATAACATTAAAAATTGAGAGGTGAAGGAGAAAATGAAAAGGAAGTATGTCCTCAGCTTTCTTAGCAGATTATTAATGGAAATATACAATTAAGATAAGTGAATAATAGGACTTTGGTTACATCTCAATAAAATAATTATTTTAAAAACTGAAGCCATCAACCTCTTAACTTTTTCATACATTATTGACATTTTTTGAGAAAGTAAGTCTTTTGTTAAAGAAACATTTGTTAACATTCATCACCTCAGTTGTTTTTACTTTCTTAAATTTACATACAATGCTAAAATAAAGAGCTTTGTATGTCCATCTTGGCTACTTTTGTTTTTATTACTTTGTTTCTAAGCGGCACTGATATTGCCACAGAATTGGTTGAATAGTTGTGTGTGTCTATATAATTTTGATTTAAATACATATGACTCACACTGGCTTCCCAAGATTAAAAATGTACTTTTCCATAAAAATATGAGTATCACTGTTGACCTTATCTTCCCGATCTCCTTCAACAGTGCATGTTATCACTTTTTACATCTATTCTCAATCTGAGGATAAAGAAGTGGCAGATGATTATTTCACTAATTTATATTTCCTTGTATCATTATACATGTTACTCATCACATTCTTCTGTGAATTTCTGATATGTATCCACTGTGTCTATTGTGTTGTTTTCTCTTATCATTTCAGAAGTATTAGTAGTTTAATGAATATATTAATCATTTAACAGTCTTTCCACATTCTATTATGTCTCTCCATGTTGTCGATGGCATCACTCTTCAGCTCCATGTTATAAGTAGTAAAGGAGGTTTACTTTTATACTTTCTAAGTGTCCTCTCATGACTACAAAATATTTTTATGACTTAGTTTCACTCTTAGAGTTTGCCAGTATTTTCCTAAAATAATTACTGTATCATCTTTCATCCTACATCCTTACTCCAGTGGGAATATTTTTTGTATATGCTATCTTTATAGTACTGTTTTAATTATTATTGATTATCTGAAGAGGCAAGTATATCCTCAATATTACTTTTTCATCTATCTTAAAACTATATTTAAACATTTATTTTTCTCCTATTAACTTCACATTTAGATATTCAAATTAATTTTTAGAAACTTTTAATATTTGGATTTTTTTAAAGAGGAAATTTGAATTTCTATAAACTCCATTGTTATTCTACTGAAATGGTATGCTAAAGGCTATTATACTGAATTTACACTTTAATTTGAGAAAAACTATCATTTTGTCACATTAAAATTTTCTTGTCTATAAAGAACATTAGGGAGATAAGCTGGAAAATATGAATAAGGTGTAGAGATAAAATAATAGCATACCAAAGTTAACGTCCTTATTTTGATAACTAACATTAAGATACAGAACAGGTTAGGAAATGTTTACTGAAGTAGTAAGAGAAAAAAAGGGTATTATGACTTTAACTCACTCTCAGAAAAACAAAGAGAGGAAGTAGCACATGTAATAAAACTTCAACAATCACAGAATCCAGGATAATGATGAACAGAAATTCTTGTATTTTGTAACATTCCTGTGAGTTTCAAACTATTTCCAAACAGAAGTGATTCCCTCTCTCTTCTCACTGTCACACACACACACTCAAACACACACATAGAGCAAGATATGCTATCTAGGATGTAATAACACCCTATTAGCTTATAGTTTGCTTTTGTAGTAATTAAAATGTACAGATTTGTTCCAAATAGTATCTATACTTTTATTAGAGAAGTAGAACAAAATCATTACTTTGTATTTAAACAGACCATGTTTCTAACTTCCATTCTTAGCTGACTGGTATTTGATAATCAAATAAAAGTTTTATTTTATTTTTTTGCAAATTTATCTTGCACCAAAGTCTCTTAGTAACTCTAGGTAAAATTATTTTAACCATTTAAAATGATGTTAGCAAATAGTCTTTATCATATTCAGATTTTTTTTCTTATACACACCTTTTTAGTTTTACTAGGTTGCTGAAATTTATCAATTTCTTCCTACACATATTCATATCTTCATATAATTTTTCTATTTTTAATTTGTTAATATAATTTACTTTATAGGTAGCTATCTTAATATTATACCATGGTTGGATTCCTGAATATACTGTAAGTGATCACAATATAAAAGTCTTTCATTATAATGCTGGATTATTGGCCTCCCTGGTGGCTCAGGGGTTAAAGTCTTAGCACTATTAAGCTATATTCAGCCACTGCCAGCATGAGTTTCACCCCACCCCCTGGCCAGGCAGCTAACCAACAGGATGCAGCAGACCTCTCCAGTCTCCTCATCCCCAGTTACCCTCAGCAGCATATTTCAGTAGATCTCCTGTTCTGCTCCCTACTCTGTCTCTGGTGAATCCTCTCGCCCCTTGTACTTCCAGCCTATACCCCAGTTCTTGTATGCATAAATAAAAAAATAAAACTTTATTATTTTTTAAAGATTTATCCATTTATACAAGAACCAGGGTACAGGCCAGATGCATGGGGTGAGCGGATTCACCAGAGACAGAGCTGGGAACAGAACAGGCAGACTGACAAAATACACTGCTGGGGGGGGGGCGGAGAGGGGGGAAGAAGGTCTGCAGAGCCATGTGGATTCTTGCCAGACGGCCGGGGATTGAATCCGCACTGCAGAGGCTGCAGACAGCTTCACAGTGTGGTGCACAACCCCTGCACCACCAGGGAGGCCCAAAAATAAATACATACATGCATGCATGCATAAATAAATAAATAAATAAATAAATAAATAAATAAATAAATAAATAAATAATGATGAATGAATAATGATAATAAAGCAAGCTTTAAAAAATGTTGAATTATGTTGGTTAAAGTTTTAGCTTCATTCCCATATTAAATGAAGTTCCATTTCTATAATTTAATTCTTCTATTATCTTTTTCATGTCATGACAGCTGCATAAAATGTACTGCAGAAGTTTTCATCTTTTTTCATGTACCAGAAAATACTGGCAACATTTGAATTATCTAGTCTTAACATGAAGAACCTAAATGCTGCTTTTTAATTTTTTCCCATTTGTAACAAATGTTCTTAGCAAATTTTCTGCTTCACCCAAGGTGAATTTTGGTTAATATACAGGTACTACTCCTTTAACATCTTCTATGAATTCACATGTTCAGTGGCATGTCTGAGATAAGCAGCAATCTCAGGGTGAATTTGCACTTGGTCCCATGTGTGGATCCGAAAAGAAACCTATATGCTCTCTCATTTCCTCCACTACAACTATGAGTGTGCCCCCAAACCACAAGGGCAAAGAAACCATCGTTTCCAGCTTCTCTCTGGAAACCTAGAAGAGCTTATCTCTACCGTAGGGGTTTTCATTGCCAATTAACCAGCTCTGCCTGTTCAGAGAAGGAAAAAGTCCTTCCCTAATTTACAATATTGGAAAACTATCAGAGTTAAGACCCAGATCACAAGGTTAAGATCAGGTCAGCCAAACACAGAAGCTGCTAGGACAAAGTTGTAAATAAGTGGAGTTGAGACCAGAGGACTACAGAGACTTGAATTATTTTCCCAGAAAGCCCCATGATTTTCTCACAGATTTTAAATTTTTGGTAATATATATTTGCTCTGGTGGTACTGACCTATACAATTTCCCATAAATACCATTTAAATATAATGGTAAGTACTCACATATGTTAAACCTACCTCAAATTCCGCATGTCTGTGAATATCCTCTGCTCTCTGCCTGCTCAGGATAAATTCAGCTTCATTTGCTACTCTTACTAGATGATCCTTCATTGTTTGGCTAAGCAACCTATAAAGAGATGAATATTGTCAAATAAATACATATGCACACACCCAAACTATATGATTATCCACTGTTCAAATGTGGCATATATTTTGCTATCTGAAGGAGGAGTGTTTATTTTGACATCACACCCAATGAAGTACCATTATTCACACTAAATATAACAGCAAAACATTATCATTCTGGCAACAGCTGATTAGCTTTTATCAGGTTAGGTGACCAACAAAAGCAACTAAAAATGCTGGATTAAATTTGTGTTTAATCTTTTTAAAGGTATTGGGAGTTTCCAAGGTAGCCACAATTTAAGGAGCCAAGTTCCCTGGAGAAGAAAGCACACAGATGACATTCAACATGATTTTTTCTGTTAAAGCATTTGCTATTCACAAGTGGGAACAGAAAAGCTAAGCAGAGCTAGCCATTACCAGTGTTAGAGAGGTAGAGAAACAAACTGAATTTTATGACTCGCCAAGAGGGAGCAGTCCTATTAGATTATCCAAGTTAATGGAATGAACCAGGTATACCCTAGAATACATTAAATAGACCTCAAAAACACTAAAACAGACCCTCAAATAACATTGTGGTGATTGAATTTAGATTAACTGGCAGCCAAAAAACTAGATAAAATTTTTTGAATTTCATAGGGTAGGGAGGGGAAGAAAAACAGGATGGGCACAGTGAAACCCCAGATTTTCATAAAACCTCAGAAATGCTACACACTAAAAATAAACAAGTTGGAAATAGGGCATACTCAGTCTTAAATTAACATAATTAGCATCTGTTAATCAGAAATCAGAATGAAATCCTTTCTGGAGGAAGATATCCTCTAGGGACTTAAATTTAACCCAGTAACTTTGAAATGCAATTGCCAACATGCAATTGACAATTAAGAGACATAAGAAGAGACAACACCAAATGAATGAAAACTAGATAGATGCCAACTGCAGAATGTCAAGACTGTAAAGTCACATACCTGAACACTGAAATACATGTAGTTATGATTCATGAAAATGCATTTAATAGAATTGAGCTTCAATTAGAATGGAAACTAGAACTACTGAAACGAGAACAACTGCACAAAATAAAAATGAAATTAAGAACAGCTAGATCAATGTACCAACAAAAAGAAGCATGGTAAGAAAAATAATGATAAGTTTACTAAATAACAGAAAATAGTAAATAGTAAAAAGGTCCAATGCAAATATATTTGGACTAAAGAGAGTAAACAAAAATAAGTAAACATTAACATCTGACATCACAATGGCCAACATTTTTTGAAAACTGGGGGTAAAATTTCTGAGTCATCCCTTGAAGTACAGCAAACTTTATGGAAAATAAAAGAAAACCACACCTACTCATGTCATAGTAAAATTGTCAAGGAAAAAAAGAAATATGGGAGAAAACATGAGGTAAGAACATGCCTTCAAAAAAAAAGCAACCAACTTTGTGTAAAAAAGAAAACCTCTACCATGTGGAAGTCAAGAACAGATGGCTAACTTTGGGGTCACTCAAAACCACTCCAGATGATTCATATGGAGCATTACTATTAATCACAAAGTTCTAAACCTTGCAACAAAACAAAACACCTTGGATATATACACCATTGACTCATTCTGACGAGTTTTTTCAAAACATCATTCACTTATCTACCATGAATACCAACAGAATGATTCATTTCATATAAATGGACATGTTTGTTATGTATAGAGCTATACTCACTTTTTTTTTAAAGATTTATCTTATTTATTTAAGCATACGAGAGCTGGGGTGTAGGGCAGAGATGCAGGGATGAGAGAATTTACCAGAGACAGAGTAAGGAGCAAAAGAGGCAAATCCACTGAAATACATGCTAAGGGAGCAGCAGGAGACAGGAGAGGTCTGCTATGCCAAGTGGGTTAGCTCCCTTGCTGGGGATCAAGCCTGTGCCCCAGTGGCTGCTGATGACTTCATAGTGCTGAGACTTAACCCCTTGCACCACCAGGGAGGCCTAAACTCACTTCTTTAAAAGGAACTGGAAATACAAGTTGGGCGAGGCTAAGGTTATTTTTTAGATGGACAGCAAAAGTGGTGAGACAACAAACTTAGACCCACAGTCGTCAACAATGACATATCTATACCAGAAATACACTGATTGCACTGGGGTACTTGCATCTCTTTGTGGTAATATTTTGTCAAAAGTATAAAAATATGATAGACTTTGATAAAAAGCAATTATCACATTACTAGTAAGGTACAACATGAACATGTTCTAAAAAGTGCAGAGAGAAATGCAGGTAGACCTAAGTTCACAAAAAGTTTCTTATAAAAAATACTGTCAGAAACAAAATATACAATGAGATTATTCTGAATTGGAAGACTATTTTTCACATTATTAGGTAGGAAAAGAAAATTGGAAAACATGTACAATATGAATTTAAGAAAAATATGAAAGAAAATAGACAAAATTGCCAATTATCTAGAGCAAGATTAACAAATGATGGCTTGTGGAGCCCTGTTTTTGTTTCTTACCAGTTCAACTGTTATCAACTGGCTATTTTTGTATCATAATCAATAAGTAGAGTAGTAGAGACACTGTCTAAAATATTTACTTAACAACTCCCCCTGTATTTTTCCTTTCTTGAGATTTTATAACAATCAATAATTAAATGAAAGGAAAACAAAATCCTCAAAGAAAATAGTGGTTTTCTACTGTTCTAACAGTTTCTCTACAGCTCTATTAATTTCACAGCATACTTTGAGTCCATATCTGACAGACCCTCCTCATTATCTCCATTTATGTCCAAACAATGACTTATAAATGATTTTAGGGTCCCAGCATTAGGGCATTTCAAATGCTATTAAACAATACACATTCAGGCATCAGATAAAAACAATCCCTAGTGCAACTTTAAACCTGCTAATGAATAACTTCCTATGCTTGCACAAATACAGAAAGCAAGGGCTTTGTAAGCACAGATATAAAATACTGGTTTGTGCTTCTTACTTTCTCTCTAGAGACCAAAAACCACACTGTGAATTTAACATCAATATATTGCCTCACAGCACTCAAACATTCATTGAATTGATTAGTCAATGACACACCATCCTCTCAGCCCCCAAACAAGCAACCTCAAATTTATTCTAGTCTCTTCCCTCTTCTCTACCAGCTTCCTCCAGGCTCCTAATCAATCAACAAATGCTGTTAGTACTCCTTCTATAATATTTCTAAAATTAACTTATGTTCTCTATTTCACAGTATCCTAAAAATCATAGCCTAATCATTTCATCCACATTATAAATGAATTAATAAGTCTGCTGTGTACTTACTCTGATCGTTAACATTTTTGTCTACGATGCCCTGTTTTTTGAATCACTGTCAAATATCTATTCAACACCTATATGCTATAAGACTAGGCTAAATTGGAAACAAAATTTATTTTTAGTTAAAGAGAAAGAAAATATACTAAGGTCATTTCTTTTAAACTCTTATAAAAGGGCTGTGGTAGATACATTCCAACATGACCTCCAAGGAATCCACATTTTATATGATCCCATCCCACTGAGTTCAATATGGGTCCACTCTGGGACTTGCTTCTAGCAAATAAAATCTGGTAAAGATGATAGGATAGTCATTACATAATTAGGTTGTTTTTTCAAAGTAAAAGTGATAGAATAGTCACTCCCATAATGTATTACACTAGAAGGCTCTGACTTAATAGATTCTGCTGCCAACCTTGAAAAAGTAAGCCACCATGTGTGAGAGGATCACCTGACAGGGGACTAGTTAGGACTAAATGCAAATAGTAAGATAACTATGGGTTCCATAACACTACAGAAAGTTACAGGTTTTCTTCCTATCTAGTGGTTGTTTCTTCACCATTTCTCTTTGCTACAGCTTACTTCCTTAATTTTGTAGTGTTCCAGAGCTCAGCTCTATGTCCTTTCCTCTATCTAAATGATATCTTCCATGCTGTGGTCTTTAAATTTTACAAAGTGCTTCAGATTCACAAGTTTATATCACAAACCCTACTCTCTTAGTTCCCACAGTCAACTGCCCAACTGAAATTTTCACTTGGATACACAAACGGTCATCCATATCCAACACTTCAAAAATAGAGCTCTTACTTCTACCTACCCACTGACAATAACTCAACCCCTACCCCTACCTCATTTTTTTCTACTCTAATAAGAGCACCTAAGACCACTAACATAAACCCTAGGATTAATCTGATTAATCTTTTCCTCATCTCCAGAACCAATTCATAAAAGCAAGTTCTGCTGCTCTAACTCTTCAGTATGTCTATGTATCTCCACCAAAACTGCTATCATCTAAGCCTAAGCTACCTTCAACAACAAACTAAAATATTTCAGGAGTATCTTCATTGACTTATCTACTTATATTTCTGACTCACACACTGATCCTATCACAATTTATTCTTTTAAAAACATAATTCATGGTGTAAGGGAAACCAGATATTCAATGCAAAGAATAAATTGGACCTAGTTACACCATATATAAAAATTAACTCAAAATGGATTAAAAACCTAAATATAATACATACAACTATAAAACCTGAAAAGACAAATAGGGGAAAAGCTTCATGACCTTTGATTTGGTAATGATTTCTTGGATATAGGACCGGGAACACAGGAAACATATAAATTGAAATACATCAAAATTTTAAATTACTGTGCATCAAAAGATTTTACCAACAAAGTAAAATGGCAATCCACAGAGTGGGAAATAATATTTGCAAATCACATACCTGATAAGGAGTTAATACCAGAATATAAAAAGAACTTACAACTCAAAAAAAAAAAAAAAAAAAAGATTCCAAACTGGGCAAAGTACTGAATAGTTTCTCAAAGAAACAACTGACCAAGGGGCCTCCCTGGTGGTGCAAGGGGTTGAGCATCGCACTATGAGGCAGTGCACAGCTTCTGCAGCATGAGTTCGATCCCAGCCGGCCAGGGAGAGGCCCACATGGTGGGGCAGAACTCTCCTGTCTCGCCCGCTGCTCCCCTCAGCA